CACAGGGAACCGGGCTTGTGTGTGTGTGTGTGTGTGTGTGTGTGTGTGTGTGTGTGTGTGTGTGTGTGTGTGTGTGTGTGTGTGTGTGTGTGTGTGTGTGTGTGTGTGTGTGTGTGTGTGTGTGTGTGTGTGTGTGTGTGTGTGTGTGTGTGTGTGTGTGTGTGTGTGTGTGTGTGTGTGTGTGTGTGTGTGTGTGTGTGTGTGTGTGTGTGTGTGTGTGTGTGTGTGTGTGTGTGTGTGTGTGTGTGTGTGTGTGTGTGTGTGTGTGTGTGTGTGTGTGTGTGTGTGTGTGTGTGTGTGTGTGTGTGTGTGTGTGTGTGTGTGTGTGTGTGTGTGTGTGTGTGTGTGTGTGTGTGTGTGTGTGTGTGTGTGTGTGTGTGTGTGTGTGTGTGTGTGTGTGTGTGTGTGTGTGTGTGTGTGTGTGTGTGTGTGTGTGTGTGTGTGTGTGTGTGTGTGTGTGTGTGTGTGTGTGTGTGTGTGTGTGTGTGTGTGTGTGTGTGTGTGTGTGTGTGTGTGTGTGTGTGTGTGTGTGTGTGTGTGTGTGTGTGTGTGTGTGTGTGTGTGTGTGTGTGTGTGTGTGTGTGTGTGTGTGTGTGTGTGTGTGTGTGTGTGTGTGTGTGTGTGTGTGTGTGTGTGTGTGTGTGTGTGTGTGTGTGTGTGTGTGTGTGTGTGTGTGTGTGTGTGTGTGTGTGCGGGGGGGGGGGGGGCGAAATCGGGGCTCTTCGTGTGCGTGACAAAAGAAGCTTCGTAACTACCCTTGCAAGGCCAGTGGCTTGCAAGTAACTTTGGAGGTCCTCGTCCGTCATGTGAGCATAAGCAGCCATGCTGCTCCGATCGGAAACACCCAAGGAAGACACCCTACGACGAGTGCCAAAAAAGGAGGCCCTTCGAGGCGGGCTTCGGCTCTGCTGATTGTTCGAAACCCATGCAACTGCCTACTGAGTGCAGCAAGCAGAACATGGCACACGGGTCTAGGCTCGGAGTCGGCTGCTAGATGTTTGCTTTTGCGGCAGAAACACAAGTAATTGCATTCCTGCAGGACTGCATCCAGGGATTTTCCCGGCGGCTTCCAGGCAGGAGGCTCGAATTAGGGTTCTAGATGAACAGAGTGGAGATATCCCTGGCATGGAAAGAGGTCGGGCTGTCTAGCTGGAAGGCTTAGGGCTTAAGCTTCTATATGTTAGGGTTGCACACTCACTTTGCGGCATACTTGGAAGGCTTGGGGCTTCAAATTAAGGTTGCGGGGGGTTTCACACTCTGTTTGCGAGACAAGAGACACATCCCAAAACTGCAGTTTTGGGTGGAACGGGGAATAACGCCGTTCCCTCGTAAAATAACGCTGTTCCCACGCTAAGTAACGCCGTCACCTATTTCGGCAAATTCCTGAAAACCCTGTTAAAAATCCCAAACTACACCAGAACACTGACAAAAACCTATTCCCAGCTGTGTGGCCGAGACTGCTGGAAACCCTTGTCAAAATCTACCGGCCCCAGCCCTCACAACACGACAGACTCAGTGGCGTGGCCGGCAGCCGGTGACTGCTTTCTGCGACCTTCACTTTGGCGGCACTGCGTCCTCTCCTCTCCTCTCCTCTCCTCTCCTCTCCTCTCCTCTCCTCTCCTCTCTCCTCTCCTCTCCTCTCCTCTCCTCTCCTCTCCTCTCCTCTCCTCTCCTCTCCTCTCCTCTCCTCTCCTCTCCTCTCTCTTCTCTCCTCTCCTCTCCTCTCCTCTCCTCTCCTCTCCTCTCCTCTCCTCTCCTCTCCTCTCCTCTCCTCTCCTCTCCTCTCTCCACGTGATGCCTGGCCGCAAATCGTCCGCTCATTCTTCTTAAGCAACTGTGAGCTTCAAGTCTGCTTTTGTGAAGAGAGGGAGAGGAGGCTGCGAGGGAGGGAGAGGGAGGAGAGAGGGGAAAAGAGAAGAGAGAGTAGAGAGGAGAGAGGAGAGAGGACAGGAGAGAGACAGAGGAGAGAGGAGAGAGGAGAGGGTGGGGAGTGGCCCCGCCCCCGTAAAGCACACCGTAAGCGTGTGCTTAACGGGGGTGGGTGGGGTGGGGTGGTGTGGTGGGCCCCGGACCCGTAAAGCACACGGGGTTTTGGGGTGTCGTGGGCTTGGAGGAGAGTGGGAAAGATGACTGAGACGAGGAAAGAGGAAGAGAGGAGAGAGAAGAGAAGAGAGAGCAAAGAGGAGAGGAGAGAGGAGAGGAGAGAGACAGAGGAGAGAGGAGAGCGAGCATCATCACCGTATCTTCATGCGATCGCACAGCCTTCGAGACCGATGCCCCAAAGTACACCCCGCCACCAGTAACCCCACGAAGCCCGTCAGCAATTAAGTCCAGGAGCTGAACTCACCAAACACCTGAAGCACGAAGCCCTGAAGCCGACAAAGACTGCAAGCCCCAATGCCACAAGCAAACCAAGCTTTAAAGCCAGGGATCAACCTATTTCTTAACTAAACCAACCACAGAGCAGAAGAAACAGCCCTACAAAACCCAGACGATAAAGGTCTCTCTAGACCCACTAGGTTGCCTTTGGTCGAGGGTCTGGAGGGTTTGGGGTTTAAGCTTAAGTTGCAAGCCTGGGCGTTTGCTAAAAGCTTTCAACAGCTCCAGGTCCTGTAGGCAAGCCTCGGCTTTGAGTTTCAGGTTACTACTAAAACCAATCCTAAGCCCAAAGCACCGAAATCTCCAAGCCCAACAAGAAGCTGGGAAGTCCCGAAACTCCGGAAGCAAAAGCCACAGAGCCCAGCGACTGTCCCCCAAAAGCCAAGCCCAGGTGATGCGGAGCTCGACGTGGCAGCTGGACGATGCAGACCTGGGCAGCAGTTGGGGTTTGGGTAAGGGCTGAGGCTCCAGGGCTTCAGGGCTCTCGGGCTGTCCAAAAAGGTTGCGGCTTGCGGGTTTTTTAAGAAGGGGTCTTCCGACCTGGACCTTGGTGCTGGGGCCTGTTCTGTTGCTTACTTAAAGGATCATGAGACTTAGTAACTAAGGTTATAATTAGGGTAACTATACTTATAACTACTTATAACCCCAATTAAGGTACATATAACCTTACTTACTAAGTCCCATGATCCTCCAAGTAGGGAGTTAATAAGGCTTCTCCTATAGTCCTGTGTTTTGGGATTCGTTGTTTTCGCCTAATTTAGGATTTAGGATCCCCGAGGCCCGAAGGATCCCGAAGGTATGCGATGCAGGTTCTCCCTGGTTTCTAAAAGACGTCGTTATTGAGTGCACCTTCTACACGGGAGATAATGCTGTTCCCGGAATGGTCAGAATTGTGCGGCCTGTGTCTTTGGGGGGGCTTAGGTTTTGGCTTTAGGTTTAAGCTATCCGTAGGGCCCCGAGTCCTAGAATTTGGCCGGAGGTGTCCGTGCTCGCAAACGACAACTGTCTACCTAGCTCCAGAATTCTAGAGAACCGCACTCAGACAACCGGATGCATAGAAGAGCCCGAGGCACCGGATGAAAGACAGCCAGCACCATCTCGTAGTCGGGAGGCAAGTGTGGCATTACTGCAACTCTTGCAAAGCTTTCTGAATGCATGCGGCCAGCTCTGCAAGAAACCGTCTCAGGAAATCCCACAACTGACCCAAAGTGCCAGCTTTGAATTTCAGCTCCGTCTTGCATTGGTTTATGCCCTCCACACAGGAATCAGTGCTCCTCCTGACATAGAGCAGTTCACGATTCACGGAAAGGACTTGTTCGTTTAGAGTGAGAACTTGAGTTCTCAAACGAAACAGTTCGTTATTGACTTCTTCCAGCCGGTCGAAGAAGGCAGCTTCTAAGTCGAACGAAGCAGGCTTTGCCATGGGTTGAGAGCACAAGCGAAAACCTAATACTTGGAGCTGCTTCTAAAACCTTAACCATGGTATCCTAAACTGCTGCCTCTGACCTGGGACCCCTCTCATCCCTCTACTAAATGAGTCAACAGCTGAGGCTGTCGGCGCTGGAGCAGAAACTTCTGGGGCTTCCGTGGTGGCTCTGCCAGCAACTGCATTCCAGCTTGCACACTCCAGGACGGTCGGGATCTGTCTACCGGGGGGTGGGTCCTTTGGGTACAATTATAGGTATTGACAGACTCAGGATGCTGTGGGTGCAAGCTTTCGTTTGGGGTTAGGGCTGCGGCGGCGACGAGGCTGCAAACCCTCAAGCGTGCCAGGAGATCGGTGCTGGCGATGGAAGAAGCCGCGAGCCGCCAATGCCAGCATCACCTGCACCCGGAGGCTAGAGGTTTCAGGGCTATTGAAAAGAAGAAGTAGGCTTCGGTTCAGACGAATGCAGCAGGAATGCCCAACCCTTGCAATAAGCAGTGCAGCGACTGAGCATACAGAAATGCTTTGCAAGTTTTTCATGCTGTGCACGGGTCGCACTCGTGCTCCAAAATCGCTCTTGCCAGGCGGAAGCCTAGCCCCCTCGCAGCACTGAATGCAGGACAGGAAAAGGCCGAGAAAAGGCGTGCATGCTATCACAGCTATGATGTACCAACACAACATTTCTAAAGAAGCCTTTCGAGTCCAAGCCTAATCAGTGCTGCCATCAACGGGATCTAGTGTCAGGAAAGCAGGCCCTGTGGCCAGGATCAACAGTGTACCCTGAGGGCCGGTGGCCCAACCCAGCCACTAAACCACCCATTGCAATGACACAGACTCAGTGGACTTGCGGGGTCAGTCCTTTGCCTCAGCAATCGAACATGGGTTTGAGGATGATAATTCACTAGGAGCCACTACACATTGGACCCCCGACCAGTAACTATCATTAAGGCTAAGAAAACGTCAAAGGGAACCAACAAACCTTATCTAGGCTAGAGTCTTGGGGCAAGTTACCTTTCAAGAACTCAAGAGCTGCAGCTTTGCAGACAATATCAAAATCCCGGCGCTTCGCATCCTTCATGTTCTTGTGAATCAAGCGAGGGAAGCACAAACACCAAAAATCGCCCTCAGGGTAGCAGGGTACAAAACATACGGTGACTACTTCATGACTTTATGTTGTGCTGAAACCTCCTCCTGATTATGCAAGAAACACCGCCTCGTGCGTGCTTGGGCTCTCGAGCAAGGGCGTCACGAATGTGAAGTAGGCCACCTCGAGGGCCACAAAGCGATCCTTCGCAAGGCCTCCATCCGGTCTGCGACGGCCAGCGAATGTTAGCCGAGTCAGAACAGGGTCCACAGTGTCCCCACCAAGCTTCGCCTTCTTGCGGATCTCGGCCTTTTGTGGGCCAACGCTCTTCTTCTGGACCTTGGCCGCCGGCTTCTTCAAAACCGGCGTGGAATCATCGAACTCCTCGTCCTGCTCGTCCTCAGCCTCCTCTTCTGGAGGAGCCTTGGCCGCCGGCTTCTTCAAAATCGCCTCGTCATGGTTCTCCTCATCTTCATGGAAGGGATCAGCCTCCTGGCTAGAGGCAACCAGCTCCACGGCAGTGGCTGCTGGCCCACGGCCTCTGCCACGGCCACGTCCCCGCCCACGTCCCCGCTTGGATGGCTTGCCTTTCGCCTTCGCCTTGGCTTTCACTTTCGGCACTGACTTGAGCTGCTCTTCACGGGTAACCAAGGGAGGCTCCGGGTCCTCAGCCAGCTCCAACGAAGGCTCCGGCTCCTCAGCCAGTTCCTGCACAGCGACCCAGAACTAATGTGTTCCTGACACTAATGGCTCGGTTACTACCACAGCATAAGAAGAAGCCTTAATCTATCCTGCTCCGGCTGCGTGGGAGAGACTTTGTCCGGGCTTGGGTAGCTGGGGCTTCCGATCATGTTGCCTTTGACTTCATCCAAGCTCTTTGGGCTCGAAGCCACGGACGGGGAACCAACGACTGGTCCATCAACTTGGGTCTCCAGGTTGTCGGGGCCTTACGAGTAGGACAGGTGCATTGACAACCCAAACTGCTAGCAACTAATCAAAAGTTTGAGTGCCTTCCAAAAAAATCATTGCATGTCACTGCAAGTCAGAAAGCACACGAGGGGAGCAGGAGTTGTCTTGCTCTTCTCGGCCCGCCTGGCCAGCTCCTGCCTCACCACACATGAGGTATGATGCGATGCACAACACTCCCTGTGAATGGGGATTTATTGGTACTGAAGGGGTTCAGACCTGATTTGCTTGATGGCCAACTGTCGCTTCTGCTCATCCGAAATCGGCGAAATGTCAGAGTAGGCATCAAAGTTGATCTTCTTCGGCGTGCAGCAGAAGGCACTGGATCGCCCCAATGCCGCCTCCTGACGTGGCCCCGGCTCATCCGTCAAGGGAGCTTTTGTCCCTGTGAACTCCTCCTCGTCTGCCGTTGCAAGAGCCTCCGCCACAGATCCAGCTTCCGCTGGCTCCTCGAGGCCACCGTCGACCGCCATCCCTTCCTCAGCAACAGCCAAAGCTGTTGGATCCTCTCCTGGCTCCACGAGGCCATCATCCACCGCCATCTCTTCTTCAGGATCCTCGTCATCAGGGTCATCCACATCGCCATCCTCGATGGCGAGAAGCTCGCCACCGTTCTCGGGCAACGTCCAAGCATCGGAAAGGGTCTTGTAGAACTCATCGAGGCAGCGATCCTACATCTGGTCTGAAAAAAGTCCCTCAGGCAACTTCTGATTGAAGCGAAGCCTTAACCAAGCAGAGACAAGGAACCCGATTCACCGAGCCAGAAGACCAACGACGAATCCCGTGGCTGAAGAGAACCTTGAGACCAGCTCCATCGTGATGGCACATAATCTTGTCATCTGGGTCGAGGCCCAGTTTGGAACGAAGAAGGGAGGCCTGGACCAAACAAAATTCAACTCGCCTACCAGACAATAACAGCTACAGACTTTCATGCTTCGGCACCTCGGTTCGAAGAAGATCTATCGGGATTGTCTTGACGTAGCTGCAATGCGAGGTCCACCACTTGGCCAGGATTGTCAAAGGCACCGTGTTCAATCGCATCGCAGCCACACTGGCAATACCGACGGCCTGCGGATTGGGCCAGCGAAGCAGCACTTGCTGGGGCTTCTCCACGGTCCGCCTCCTGCACACCTCGCTCTCGTCCAACAACTGGGCCAAGTAACCCGTGGGAGGTTTAATGTAACCAGAAAAGGCCATGGCTTTCAAGCAAATCCTACAAGAGAGCTTCGGAAAACAAAATCCTGCGGGGACCGATGCGGGTCCTACCATATCGGCAAGCGAGGTTCCGACCTCCGCACTTCAAAGATCAAAGGCCACTGAGTATTCCCGGCTCACATCACTTAGCAACCTTTCGCCCTGAGGCTAGCCTTGTCCCGGCAGAATCGGAGAGAAGATCATCCCACGAAGAATGTACCTGCGGCATTTGAGCTGGGACTATGATCTCCTAACACTGCAGACATCTAGCACAGTGCTCTCTAGAAGTAAGGTGATGCAAATCCCATCGGCCTGAAGCTCCGAAGTCTGAAGTAAACACCCGGGCGCACAGAAGGAAAAGCCATCCAAGGCACGACGACATGTTTTGCAATCAGTCGCGGGATACCAGTTCTCTGATGTTCTCTGTCTGCTAAGACTCTTGTATTGTGCGGAACATCATGTGACTTGGATCAGCGAGCCCGCAGCAGAGCCTTCGGGCACGAATATGTTCTCCGCCCCAGACCTTGCCCAGTATCACCCGAGGCAACTATTCCTGCGACATATCCCAAATTATAAGAAACGCCGACGAGCAATTATTTCAGGCATTTCTCTCCAAAACAGTTTATTTCCAGAACTACTGAAAGTTCCGCCGCGAAGGTTCACCAGGTATATATATATACTTAAATAAAATACCCCAAAACCCCAACCCCTAAACCCCAAATTTGGTATTCATCTTGTCAAGGGTTCTGGAAGCCAGGATCACAATAATATACCCCAAAACCCTTATAGATCCCTTAGAGTACCCTCTAAAGGAACCCTAAGAAGGGACCTGCAAGCCAAGGGACCTCCCCTCTAAACCCCAAACCCTTAAACCCTAAACCCCTCAACTCTAAGTCCTCAAACCCCTAAACTTAAACCCCTAAGCCCTAAACCCTTAAACCCTAAATCCTTCAACCCCCTGAAGCCAGGAAAGTTCCCTTTTTGTCTTACCTTGGGTTAGTAGGGAATGGAGGAAATGGGGTACAACTATATCTACTACTGTTGATGATATACATCCTGAAGTACTTTAAGGACCCTAAACTATGGGAATTATGGTATATTCCTTATTATGGGTCATGCAGGATTTATATCATCAACAGCATTACTACCATTCTTCTATAGGATTACTAAGGCGCCTATATTATAGTACCCTTATAGATCCCTTATAGTAACCCTTACTTGGGGGATCGGGGGACTTAGCAAGTAGCTAGTAAGTAGACTTATAAGTACCCTAACAGGGACCCTAATTGGGGTTATGGTACTTATAAGTCCCTAAAATAACCAGTTACTAAGTCCCCGACATGATAGTACCCTTATAGATCCCTTATAGTAGCCCCTATAGACCCCTTTAAACGGAGCCCTTTAAAGGGAACCCTAGGGCCCCTAACCAGTTACTAAGTCCCCCGACCCTCCAAGTATAGACCCCTTTATATAAGGCCCCTTCCATTCCCTTTCGCCCCGGGGAGGTCCGCTGACCCGGGAGGAGCTGCTCCAGGGCATGGCGCAGGAGCTGGAGCGAGAGAAGGCGCCATTTTGGGGGGGTCCTTTTTGGGTATTCTTTAAGGGTTTAGGGTCCCTTTTAGGGTTTCTTTAAGGGTTTAGGGTCCCTTTTAGGGTTTCTTTAAGGGTTTAGGGTCTCTTTTAGGGTTTAGGGTTTAGGGTCCCTTGTAGGGCTTCGTTAAGGGTTTAGGGTTTAGGGGCTTTGGGGTTTTCAGGGTAGTTTGGGGTTCTGTAAGGGTTCAGGGTTCGTTTACGGGTTCCTTTAAGGGTTTCCTTGAGGTTCCTCTAAGAGTCCCTTAGGGGTTCAGGGCCTGGGGGTTTTAGGATTTTTGGGGTTTAGGGATTTTAGTGTTTAGGGTCTAGGGATTATAAGGATTTTGGGGTGGTTTTCGATTCCTTTCAGGTTTCCTTTAAAGGTGCCTTTCAGGGTTCCTTTCAGGGATTTGTAGGGATGTTAGGGCTTAGGGATTTCACTGGTTGAGGGTTTGGGTCTTAGGGGTTTAGAATTCAGGAGTAGTTTAGGACTTAGGGGTTTAGGTTTTTAGGGTTCAGGGTTTGGAGCCTGTTGGTATGTTGGTGAACTTGTAGGGCTCTGGGGGATTCCTGCAACGGCTCGGTTTGCGCTTCCGAAAGGGTTTGGGGGGAGGTTTCTACAGGGTTTTGCAGGATGCGTATGGAAGGGGCAATGGCAAGGTAGAGCGAGCAGGTAACGATTCTGGAGAAGATCTGGAGCAGCAAGCCCTGACTGAAATTGGCACGAACTCCCGTCTCAGCGGCGAGCAAGAGCCTTGCTCCAGCACGCTGAGGCCATGCCGGGAATTTGACCAAGGCAGTTTCGCCCCAACAGAGGCTGGTGCTACTATTGCCAGGTACCGGGGCACTGGTCGATTTTGTGTCGCAGGTGCCTTCCCAAAACCCAAAACCCTAAACCCTAAACCCTAAACCCAATCCGCTGCGTACTTTCCTGTACCCGGAAAGGGACCCACGCCGAGCTCGTGAAAGGGGTCCTTTGAGGCTTCCAAAGGGGTTTGGGCCTCAGGCGCTAAGGGTTTCGGGTTTGGGGGTTTAGGGTTTGAGGGTTTATGGAGTTTAGGGTTTAGGGTAAACCAAGACAGACAGGTTGTTCCTAGAGCCTCGAGCAAAGCTGAATCAGCTTTCTGCCCTGCTGTCAACATGTCAGCTTTTCAAGTCTAAACCCTAAATCCTAAGGCCAAACCACGAAATCCTAAACCCCAAACCACTAGATCCGAGAATCCTAAGACCGTACCGTGAACGTTGCTTAGGCCTGCAACTCCGGAACCCCAACAGCCTTCTCGAAACACTTTTCCAGACGGTTTAGGAATATGCCATTATCCCCATAGTTTTTGGTTTTTACCCAAAGGCTCCCAAAGGGGTCATGGGCCTTCTGGGGGAGAGTTTGGGCTTTGGGGGCTAAGGCTAAGGTTTGGGATCTCACTACGAGGGTCTAGGAGCCTTAGGGTAAGGTAGTGCAGGATTTATATCACCAACAGTAGTCTCCGGATAGACCTCGCTCCTTCGTGGTAACGCCCTAGCCCTAGCACCCGATCTAAAGCATCCAAAAAACACCAAAGCCCAAAGACCCTGAAAGCTTTAAACCCCAGCAACCTGACTGAACCCCAACGCATGAAACTCTGAAGCAGCGACACCATTATAGAAACCTGTTAGCTCTAATACTAAAACCTTACAAACCCCTGACCCCTATAAACCAAGTCCTGCACACTTTTTCCCTGAAGACGTGAGGCCAACAGAGGCCCCATGGAGCCAGCAGAGTTCCGCCGGCGCCAGGCCCAGAGATTCCGATATCCCTTGATTAAGGAATGTACCCTAAACCAGAGGAGGATCCTTAAGGTAAAAGCCAGAAAGTTGGAATATGATTATCCTAACTCTTCTATGGCAAATTATAGGGTATCCTACCATGAAACCATATTCCAACTTTCTGGAGTTTCCTATAATATGATTTAAGGATATCCCTTTGTTTTTGGGAGTATAGCTTAGATTATAGTAGGATCCCTAACATGATTTAAGGAACATCCCTGAGTTTAGGGATGTTGGAGTTTCTGGGGACCCGGAGATCGGTTGGATTCTCTGTTCTTCGCGGGGTGTTCAGGGCGCTGTAGGCGTTCATCCTCCGAGGGTTCCTCTAAGGGTTCTCGTCAAGGGTTCTTTAAAGGCTTCGGTTAAGGGTTCCTTGAAGGGTTCTCTTCGGGGTGAAGGGTTCCTTGAAGGGTTCTTAAAGGGGGTTCGGTGAAGGGTTCCTTGAAGGGGTTCTCTTCCGGGTTCCTTCAAGGGTTCCTTCAAGGTTTCTTAAAGGGTTCCTTAAGGGGTTCCTGTGAGAGTTCTCTTCAGGGTTCCTTTAGGGGTTGATGCCACTTCTTGCCAGTTGAGCTTGGGCTCGGGGGTTGGGCTTAGGATTAGTTTAGGAGATGTGTTCGGGGGTTTCCTTGGCTAGATGTCATGGACGTTTTAGGTTTTGGGGGTTCAGGGTTTTGGGGGGATTCAGCCTATGAGCCTGGGGTGCGTGTTGTAGCGGCCTCCAAAACCCTAAAGCACAAACCACACCCTAAACCTGTTTCAGGTTTCGACTTGGGATGATGCGTAATTTTCCTTGTTGTTCATTATAGCCCTAACTATAAATAATTTTGGGAACTGTTGAAATCGACACCTAGTAAACCTGTTAGAAATTTGCAGGGTCGGGACCGGCTCTAAAAATCCGCGGGCTCCCTCCCGATACTGTCGATAGTCCTATCCTCCGAGCTCAGATTCTAGGGACTTTGGGATGAGGGCAATATAGGGGCCTTACGAACAGGGTTTTGGGTGTATTATACTGCAGTGATAGTAAGGAACTCCAAGAGACAGTGTTGGTAACATTCCGGCCCCTACACTAAGCTTGTGATGATGGATGCTGCAGGACTTCCGGATTTCGTTTTATCCCGCTGTAGCACGCGCCATTTGAAAACCTACAAGCCCCGAACTTTGATTCCGTAGCGCCAAGCCCTACAAGACAGTAGGCTATGCCCTCTTAGTAACGGAGGAATACGGGGGGCCTTACAAGAATGGGGTTTGGTGCGTATGTACCACTGCTAATCTTTCGGCTTCCGTATAGTATACAAGAGTAAAGACCCCGTGGCCCAAATCGTAGACAGGCCTAAACATACCCGTGGCAGGTGTTGAACTAGTTTCCAAAAAGGGTTTATAATGTGTGTAGCGGTCTTTCAGCCTCCTTAAGGTTTTGCGCTTTGGGGCAAAGTATCGCTGAACCCCTCAAGTCTAAACCCCGGGCAGGAGGAGGCACAGCAGACGGATGTACCCGCAGCTGCAACGATGATCGAGAAGCGGACAACGCCGCCAGGGCCCTTGCGACCATGCGAAGTTGCCCCGAGGTTCGAGGTTGTGGTATCAACAAATTGGAGCCCCTGAACCCAACAATCTACCATAACTGAAAAGGCTAACTTTGTTTGAGGGCTAAGGTACTCAGCCCCTAAGCCCCTATATTTATATATACATACATATATATATATATATATATGTATATCTCTCTCTCTCTCTCTCTATCTATCTATATCTATATATATATATATATATATATAGATACATATAGACATACAAATATGTATACATATATATATATATATATACATATTACATATTACATTCTGGGAACGGGGTCCGGAAGCTTGATGCTTGGAGAGGTCGTGGGTCGTTGGCGCTTGCACTCAGAGCCTTAAATGAAGGCTCTATGGACTCAAAGTTTAAATGCTATATGAGGCTTTTGGGCGATTTTGAGCCTTAGGGTTAACAACTAAATTCGGGTTCCTTGACGGGGTTCCTGTGAGAGTTCTATCAAGCTGCTATCAAAGCGAAGGGGTCTCAGTATCTTGCAAAAGGCGCGGTCGGGTGGATGGTAGGGTTTCAAGTTTCAGAATGTGCAGTATATAGGAAGCTTGATAATTGGAATGGGGTCCGAGGGAGTATTGGTACACAGGGACAATAATTGGGGGATATTATTGGCGTAGTCTTGCCAATCATTGAGACGCCTGAATGCCGGTTTATTTCTGTTTCACTAAGACGCAAGCGAGTTTCGGGATAGTCGGAACCCGAATATGAAGTAGCGGGATGCTTATTATTCCTCCTGTAGATTTACATAGCGCACCCAAAATCTGAAGAGATTTCGAATCTACAGTCTACAGTCTACAGCCACACTTACGGGCCATGGGGCGTGGCAGCTCTTGAAGTAGCCCTCTGGGTCCTTCTAGGATTCCCTTAAGGGGGCCATAAGGGTTCCTTTAAAGGGTGTCCGCGGCTTAGGATACAAGGGCCCATGTCTCCAAATAGTATATACTGTGGCCCCAAAGTACCTAAATAGGGACTACCCTAAGGCCCCATAGTAGTTCCTTTTTGTGGTTAGTATTTAGACTCCTATAAGGTAATCCCAAATAGTAACTACTTTGGGGCCTATGAGTACTTTAAGGCCAATGTATATACTGTTTTGGTACAGTACATGGACCCTTAGGGTAGCATTATCCCGGTTTGGGTTAAGGTAAAATCCCTTGAGAAACCCGTTAAGGAGCCCTACTTATGACCTACTTCGTGTGCCTCTGAAATTCGAAGTACTCCTACAGGCTCTATTGATGCTACCCAAGATTCCGGATAGGGCTCTATAATATAAACTTTTGGGTAACCAAGAACAGGAACTACAATGGAGATTATAGGTAGGCCCTTACCCCAAACCCTAAACTCTTAAAGAACCTCTATAGAACTCTTAAAGAACCCTTATAGAACCCTTTAGAACGTTTATAGAACTCTTATGGAACCTTTTTTGAACTCTTATAGAACTCTTATAAAGCCCTAGAGGTATGGGGTGACCCCCACCCTAAGCAGTACCGGTCCACAAGCCCCCCTGAGCTAGTCCGAGGCTTACCTACGACGAGCTCTTGAAGAGGCCGTGGCTGATGGATTACTTAGGGGTACTTAGACCTTTGACTTTTTCATATTTGGTTATGATAATCTCCAAGAAACAGCCAAAATTATAATTTTTGCTAGGGTTCTACGTTCAGTATAGATTAAGGTGAGTCGCCCCATACCTATAGGGTTTTATAAGAGTTCTATAAAGTTTTTCAGGGATTAAGGTGAGTCGCCCCATACATAAAGGGTTCTATAAGAGTTCTATAAAGTTTTTTCAGGGAGTAAGGTGAGTCGCCCCATACATATAGGGTTCTATAAGAGTTCTATAAAGTTTTTTCTGGGAGTAAGGTGAGTCGACCCATACATATAGGGTTCTATAAGAGTTCTATTAAAAGTTTGTTTTCAGAGTTCTTTCAGGGTTCTGTAGGGGTTTAGGGTTTGGGGTTTGGGCTGACCGCTGGATGGATTAAGTGCCCAGGGAACCCAATACCCCTTGATTAAGGAATATACCTCAAACTAGAGAGGCCTTAATACTATGGTTTAAGGTATGTTCCTTAAATTAAGGGGTAATTGGGATCTATGGGTGGCTGCCTAATCTCGAGGTTAGGGTTTAAGTTTTGAGGCTTAGGGTCAGGGAAGCCTGAAGCCCGATATTTAAACTATAAGCCCTCGCCCTCAAAGGTGTCAGCCCTGTATGAGTTTCAGCTGCATTTCCGAATGAGACGTGCTTGCTACGTGAATCATCTTAGCCACGAGGCTCGAAGCAGGATATTTAGACCTTGGGCTTCGTGTCCCTGTTTAGATTCCCAGCATCATGGCATGGGGTCAAGACGATTCGTGGAACACCTCGGAGTCCTGGCAGAATCAGAAGGACCAGCAGCCTCAGCAAGCCTCGGAGGGTCAAGAAGATCCGTGGAACGCGTCAGACCCCTGGCAGAAGGACCAGCAGCCTCAGCAAGCCTTGGAGGATCCTACCTGGAATGCTGAAAATGACAAGGGAAGTCAGGGATATCAGTCTGGCAAGAGTTGGTGGGAGGACAATGCCGACACATCCCAGAACCAAGGGAAAGACACGAAGGAAGAGTGGGACGCATGGGGCAAGTGGAAGCAGCCAGCCGATGACGGATGGGGCTCATCCAACGCTTGGCAGACACAGCAGAGACCCGCCGAGACGGCAGAGGATGCAAACAAGAGGAGGCACGAGACATACCGGAAAGAGTACTATGACTTCCAGTCGTGGTACAAGGAAGCAGGAATTACGCCCGACACCAACAATGCATGCACATTCTCAGAGGAATCAGGCGACCGCGGAATCGATTTCGAGTTGTACAACTCAGTACAGGTGAAAGTGAGCGGTGAGGGTGCTGAATCCCTTCCCAAGCATCTGGACAGCTTCGAGGAACTGTTTTCCAGGTTTGACGGCATCCCAGGGCAGCTGCAGGAGAATTTGAGGCTACTTAAGTTTCGATACCCTACACCTGTGCAAAAGTATGCTGTCATCGCGGGACTAGCTGGCCGGGATGTCATGTGTTGTGCCCAGACTGGCAGCGGGAAGACGGCAGCCTTTCTGATCCCTATGCTCTCAAGCATGATGAAGAACCACCGGGCCACAGGTGGGAGTTTCAAGACATAAGTGACCTGGGTATGCAACCTTAAATGGCAGGGTTCTTGACATAAGAACCCTTGACGAGGATACTATACCCCCAGTTTTCTCAAACCCTAAACCCTAAACCCACCAAAACCTCTAAACCCCTAGACTCCTAGACCATAAATCATAAATCCTAGGATGCCCAGTAGTATCCTTATTCCCTTCCAACCCAAAACCCCTAAACCCCTAAACCCTAAATCCCTAACCCTCACCCCCCCGCCCCCCGTTCCCCCCTCTTCCCCGAGGTGCAATGACGGAGGCCTTTGAGGGGCCCTGCGAGCCGGACACGCTGATCTTGGCGCCGACTCGGGAGTTGGCCCTGCAGATCTTCGACGACGCAGTCCGATTCTGCGACTTAGTAGCTGAATGAGTACTTGGAGGTTCATGGTACTTAGTAACTAGGGTTCCTTAAAGGGCTCCTTAAAGGGATCTATAGGGTTCCTTAATGGGATCTATAGGGTTTAGAGTTTATGGTCCTCTTAGAGGTTCATGGTACTTAGTAACTAGGGTTATACATAAAGTAACTATACTTATTGGTTATATCACTTGCTAAGGTACTTATAACTGTAGTAGAGTAGGGAACCGTTAACCTTTTGTTGGGTAGTATAGCCCCTATATAACCCTATATCCAAAAAGGTTAACCGTTAGTTCCCCATGATACCTGACAAGTTGGGTAACTGAAGGAGTACACTGTGCACATAATGGGGGGAGAGATACATATAAGTATACAGTGCGCGTATATCTATGTATATTTATATAAACCCTCATACATGTGTGTATGTGTGTGTATACATAATATGTATAGATATGTATACAAGGTGTTTAGGGCTAGGGCTTAGGGTTTTAGGTTTTCCATTTGGGCCCCGTTTTCCCTTTTGTGGTCTTAAGTTCCGTATAAAGCTACCCAATACCATACAGGGAGTGGGGATCCCTTGATGGTTCCTTTAGGGTGCAATTCGGGCTTTTTTAAAGGGAGCGGGGATCCCAGCGTTTAGGGTTTAGGAGTTTGGGGTTTAGGGTGTCGGGGTTTAGAGTTTAGGGATTTAGGGGTGTGCGGGTTTGGGGGTTTAGGGTTTAGGGTAGGGGCCAGGCTATGGCACGGACTATCGCGTCATTCGCGTCTATGGACAAGAGGCACGAGCGAATCAGCTTCGCGACATCTCCAAAGGCGCCGACATCTGCGTTGCTGGGCTCTTCTTAAAGAGTTTTGTTGACGTTACCATAACAATAATAATGATCTGCAGTAACTATAAAGGTTCCTAATTTGCTAGGTTCTTCTTAAAGAGTTAATACTGTTGACGTTACCATAATCATGGTCTACAGTAGATATACAGTTTCCGAATTTTGGGAACTTGCACACAACTCCGTAACAACCACCGAGGTGGCCACGCCCGGTCGCTTTGCAGACTATGTCGAGGCGGAGATCATCAGCGTGCAGAAGACTTACTGCGTCTTAGCAGTAGAGCAAGCAACGCTCCGTTTCCTTTTTTTTTTTTACTGCAATCCTTCTAAACCCTAAACCTTAGACCCTAAGCCCTTTTTGCACTGGAAACCCTAAACCTTAAACTCTAAACCCTAAACCCTCGCAAGGGGTGAAGTAAGGCCTGGTGCTCGATGAAGCGGATCGGATGTTGGAGCTCGGATTCCAAGAAACCATCCAAGAGCTGATTGAGACTGGGTTCTTGTTAAGTGGCTACTATTTGCTTAAGAACCCCCAAAAAAATAAAAAAATATATTCCTTATGGGGGTAATATAGGGATTATTATTTTTTTGGTGTTTCTTAAGCAAATAATAAGTGGAGTTGGGGAGATGGAAGTTATTGCTAAAGAGTTTCAAGGGTTCCTTTAAGGGCTCTTTAAGGGTTCCTTCAAGGGCTAAGGCTTAAGGGTTAAGTTCCCGTATGGGGATTTATAGAATCTAGAGTAAACAGTATGTTTCTTGATTGCGGTAGCAAAAATTAAAACCCTGAACAGAGACCCAGGAAAAGCGGGGCATGCCTCAGAACAACGAGCGTCAAACAATGATGTTCTCGGCGACATTTCCGAAGGAAATTCAGGAGACTGCCATGAACTACTTGCACAATCACCTGTTTGTGGAGGTGGGAAAGCTTGGCAGCCCTGCGGCTACAGTCACTCAGATTTTAGAGCAAGTGGACAAGAAAATGAAGCTGGACAAGCTTGTGGCTTTGATTGACTCCTGGATGCAGAACAGTCGGCCAACGGGCCAGGAACGAATGCTGGTGTTCACGAACAGCAAGAACCAGACCAAGGCCTTGGACGAGTATCTCTGGGATACTGGGCTCTTGTTGAGGAAGTTATTTTAAGTCCCCATAGTAGGGATCTGTAGTAAACAACATGGTTTCCTTATTATTGTAACTTGAACCAGTTTCTTAACAAGAACCCAGGATAAGGAGGTTGCCAAGACGGGCGCCCTTCATGGCGACCTAGACCAGCCGAAGCGAGAGTCAAACCTCGCTCTCTTCCGCGAAGGCAAGATTGATGTGATGCTGGCGACGGATGTAGCATCCAGAGGTGGGAGTTTCCGAAAATAGGGGACCCTAATATAGTACCCTAAATAGTAGGATCCTTATCATAAGGACCCCAAAATAAGGTACCCCCATTTTCGGAAACTCCGAGGTCTTGATATCAGCAAAGTGTCCCATGTGGTGAACTTCGACCTTCCAAAGGACCCGCAGGTCTACGTGCACCGAATTGGCCGCACTGGCCGCATCGGCAATCGTGGGACAGCCCTCAGCTTCGTCACTATGGAGGATACCTGGTGGATGGATACTGAAGAGATGCTCAAGGCCTTGCCCAGTTTCATGGAGGGGGCACCGAACACCACCGTGCCGGACTGGCTTGCTGAGAAGTGCGACACCCTAACCGCCGGAGAATGGGGTGCCAAAGCGGACGACACGACGGACGCTCGAGATGCCGATGCCTGGTCGAAGTCGGCACCTTAGTTCTGGACTTTAGGGTTTATAGCGCTTGTAGGGTTTAGGGGTTGGGCTCTTCCAGGTTTACGGAATAGTTCTCAATTCAGGGCTTCACGGTTAGAGTTGAGAGTTTAGGGATCTTGATTGACATGCCAGCGCACAGTCCTGTCGAACATGGAGGTTCATGGGTAGTTATAAGTAGGGTTATAAGTAGGGTGACTATACTTATAATCCATATTAGGGGACGTATAACCCTACCTATAACTACCCATGAACCTCCAAGTAAAACCCCCGTACTTTCGACCGCAATGAACGGCCCGAATCAGGTGGACGCCTGCTACCACCGATGGAGCATGGACAAAGAGCCAAGACAATGACAGCGCTTGGCAGGACAACAGTTGGGACCAGCCCAATCCCGAAGAGGCTTTGCCATACCAGTAGAAAGAATCGGCAAGACAAAATGCGCAGGAGGCACCGGGTGGCCTGAATGATGCGGCATGGGGTTCGGCATGCAGCTGAGGCCACCTTGCCCCAAAGCTCTATGTCATTAGTTCCCAGTAATAGGAAGTCATAAGACGCTTCCCTCAGATAGGCGGCCCAACAACGGAGCTGCATTGAAAAAAGACGCGCCAGATTGTTTAGCTCGTCGTCTTCAGCAAGAGCTTGAAGGGTTAATTGCAGAGCTTCCGTAAACCCCTCGCCCCGAAACCCTACTTCCCTGAAGTCCCTAAACGTTTGTATAACCCTACCAAAACTGAAAAGGTTAACCTTTTTTGGGCTAGGGTATTCAGCCCTTGTGAAACCTGTCAAGGGTTCCAAGGCCTTGGTAGTACTGACATGCAGCGCTTGCTGCCGTCGCCACAGGAAACGTATTTCGTATTTGAAATTTCGAGCCCACAACTCATTTCGGATTGTCAAACCTGGTTTTGGGAGTTTTCTGGGGAGTTTGGTCTGGCTTAAAACCTTGGTACACGACAGGATCGAAATCGGATCGAAGGATGAATTGAAATCCGGGCCCAAATCCAAGATCCAAGATTCTCCCAGGAGTCTTGGGGTAGAACTTCGCTCCTGGCCCGCATTGAAGTTCAATCCCTCAACCCAGTTTCAAACTGGACTGAAGGCTATAAGCCGTATAAACCCGAAACCCTAGACCCTAAACCCAACCTTGTATATGGGTGGTTGTCAAAATTACGGTCCCTTTTTGCGTACCCTAAATATTAGGTGCCGCATTAAAATAAGGACCAATCAAGGGACCCTAAACCCAACCTTGAAAATAAACCCTAAACTGTAAAGCCTAAGCCTTGAGACCCAAGCCCTTCCAAAAGGTATCCGCCAGTCGCAGAGGAAGGCAGCGAGGTCAAGGCTGGATTTAGGGTTTAGAGTTTAGGGTATTTAGGGCCGTTTAGGGTTTACAGTTTACGGTTTAGGGTTTAACTTGACCTTGAGAAACCTAGATTTGTAGTGTTCTTCAAGCGGTTCCTAAAAGGGATCTATAGGGTTTCCTTTAAGGGCTCCTTTAAGGGATCTACAGGGGTTCTTATATGGGAGTTTTCGATTACTAGGGGCACCTTGTTTTGGGGCCTTTGCAAAAAGGATCCTGCTATTGTCCCCTTCGGAAACCCCCACAGTCAGTTGTAGTGTTCCTGATTATATGAGTCGTTTATACTCCTGAAAAAGGTTAGCTTCTTTGGGGTGAAGGTACAGCATTGGAGTTTAGGGCCTGTGGTTATCAGGGTTTGGGGTCAGGTCTGGGTTTAGGGTTTAGTAGTTGGCTGGGGGTGTGATGAAAAGATCCCCCCCAAACAAATTGCATTCAAGTCTCTGAAACCCCGCCCGAATGCCAAAGTCGGACCCTACCCCTAAAACCCTCAAGCCCTAGACCCCAAAACCCTAAAGCGCTGAAGAGATGGGGAGGTGAGGCGTTGAATATTGAAAGCCAGCTCTGTACCGTGAAGTGCACGCACTGCGGGGGGGGCAAGGTTGCCTTTCTAACCTTCAAGACGAAGGCTCTGTGAGTGCATGCCTGTGTGTGTGTGTGTTTGTGTGTGTGTGTGTGTGTGTGGGGGGGTGGGCACCCTCGTCTACGGAACTTCTCGCAAGAAACTCGAAAATGGTAGGTTTTTTGGGTTTAGGTCGGGGCTAATGCTGTAAGGATTTGAGGTTAGTTGAACCGGTTTAGGGCTGATGTGTTTTTTTGGGCTAAGGTCGGAGCTAATATTGCAGTCATTTGTGGTCAAGGTGGTTTAGGGTTGACGACGCTCTTCCTTCGCCGGCACTTGCCGCAGGCACCTCGACCCACAGAGGCCAAGTGGTTATCGGGCTGAGGACGTGTTATGAGTGCTATATCATGTTATCTGATACATATATTCACATGTCATAATTATGTGTGTGTATATACATAATATATATATATATATATATATATATATCATACAGGTTACCCGAATAACTGAAGTTGCATCATAGTTAGCATGCGGTTTTACAAGTGGGCTTCAACAACAAGTGGTGTGGTAGAGACCCGAGACTCTCAGGTTGCTAAGCCCCCAAGCCCGGAGCCCTAAGCATACGAAACCCAGACCGTGCAAAGCCCTGCACCCTAAATCCCCTGAAACCCCCTACTCCAAATCCCAGACCCCGAGCTCTAAAACCTGGAACCCACCGAAAGGCAGGTATAGACTTGAGGTCTGGCGGTTGAGGCCCTGTCTTAATTGTTTAGGGGTCTTTAAGGGGTCTGGAATGGTCTATGTCAAGAAAACAAAAAAAGGAATCTTGAAAGGAACCTTAAAACGTTGGGTTTTGATTGTTGAACACAGAAAAAGGAACCACAAAAGTTAGGGTTTTGTGTGGCTTTAAATGGTTTAGGTCTGGGGTTTTGGTCTGGCCTTCAGGTATTGCTGTCTTGGGTGGGGGGGTTTGACCCGCCAAACTGCAGGCTCTTGCGGTTTAGAGTTGAAGTTAAAAACAACAGTAGGGTAGAGCCATGGTCGTTTTCTGGTGATTCTGGCTTCTGCTGTAGTGGGTTTTCCTTTCTTCCTCGGGCCGTGTGCCTTCAGCCCTTTCACTTCGTTTTGTTGTGAGGATCCCATCAGAAGGCTCCTTGCAAGTTGAGGCGCTTTTCACGGAGGTCAGACATCGGGTGGCAAAGTGGCAACATTGTGCTAATTGGCAACAGGTTTACCCGAATCTTGGCCCAGCAGCCCTGCTGCCGTTTCAGAGGTGCAAGGTTGCCGCCCAGGTTCTGGGTTCTTGTTAAGGAACTTAATTTAAGTTACCATAATAGGGATCTATCGTAAATAATAGGGTTTCCTTATTATGGTAACTTAAATTAAGTTCCTTAACGAGAACCCAGGGTTTCAGCAGTGTTGCGCTACCTCATCCGGCATTCCCACACCATGTGGGATGTCCACGAGGAAGACATACTGATTAACCTTTGCACAAGTCATTGTGCAGACGTTCGATTTCTGTCGCTAGAAGAAGTTTACTGCATTCAGCAGCCTGCCACAGGGATTCCTTGCAACAGGGTTTCAACAATTGAAGTCTCATTAGTATCATCCTTTTGTGCTTGGCTCTGACTGTGGGGCAACATTAACCCGGTATGCTTCTACACAATCATACATGCTGGTACTATTCTACACCCGCCACCCTAGTCTAACTTTCATGACCTCTCCTAAACCCTAAACCCTAAACCCTAAACCCTAAACCTATAGAACCCTCAAGTCAAGGGAGTCCCTGCTACAGGTCAAGTTCCAAAGCCCAGAGTCCGAAGATGGGTTCCACCAGAAGGGACGGAATGAGCTGCTCAACCCCCTTCCCCAAACCGTAAACCGTAGGGTTGATGAAAGAACACCCTGCATGACCCATAATCATAAGGAATATACCATAATTCCGATAGTTTAGGGTCCTTGAGGTAATGCAGGATTTATATCGTCAACCGTAGTACCCCAAAGACCCAAACCATAAGCTTCCAAGCCACCACCTTACAACGCTACTCTTCGTCTACATATTACAATAGACAGGGCGTATACAAACGCGTAAAGCCTAAGGCCTTTGAACAAAGCCGGTCATAGACTATACAAACATGTAAGGAGACCTTCAGGCAGTTCGAAAACATCCCTCAACCCTAGAAAGCAAGCTACAAAGCCCTAAGCCCTGAAAGCAAAAAGCTCTACAAACCTCTCAAACCCACTTTTTTCCCGCGGGAAGGCCGCAGATCCGACGCCGGAGGAGCTGCAAAGACTGCAGCTCCTTCAGGCCAGGATTTACGGTTTCAGGTTTCAGGTCTCGGGCTTTAGGATTTAAGGTTCAAGGTTTAAGGTTTATAGCACATACCAGGGTTATTTTATGGTCTAAGGTTAAGGGTGTTGCAATGTTTTAGGGTTTCGGGTTTCCAGGGCTTAAGGTTTATAGGGTTTAGGTGTTTTAGGGTTTAAGGTGCAAGTTAACGTTAGGTTCAAGAGTTTATAAGGTTTACAGCTTGGGGTTGCATAAGGGATCTGTCTAATAGTCTACTAGGACCCAGAGTAGGCCCTTATTCCCTTTTTTGGGTGGTTCAGGTTCCCTTATATGCTCCTTTAAAGCAAAAAGGGCACCCTTTTTATTCCTGGGTTACTCTTGGGTCTAGTCTAAGGTTCCCTTTAGGGAATCTGGAGGATGCCTAGGGTTCCTTGAAAGGGATCTCGAGAGTTGAGTGGTTTATAGGGTTTAATTAGGGTTTAGGGGTTAAGGTTTATAGGGGTTAATTACGGTTTAGGGGTTGTAGGGTTTGGGGTTGATAGGGTTTAATTAGGGTTTGGGGTTTATAGGGTTTCAGATTTCAGGTCTAGGGGTTTAGGATTTAAAGGTTCAAGGTTTAAGGTTTACAAGGCTTTATGCGGTTAAGGTTTGGCATTTTAAGGCTTCGGTTTTTCAGTGGGGTTTAGGGTTCAATGTTTAGGGTTTCCGGTTTATACAGGGTTTCAGGGTGCCAGGGCTGTTTGCTATCAAAGCCTTAATGCGAGTGAGCTTTGGGAGTATATTATCCTGCAAGCTTGCTTAAGGTCCACAAGTGCGAGAAGCAAGGTGACAAGGAAGTCTTCGGGCTCCGAAAAAACGGGTTCCTTTAAGGGATCTATAGGATTTAGGGCTTTACCACGAGTAACCGGCACCTTGAAATGAATGTAAATGCACCAATATTTCAGAGTCATACCCCTTGTGTAGAGGTACATTGCTTACTCCAGGCAAGTTTAATGCAGAGGCGTCATCTTAGTAGCTGAGTAGATACACTTTACACTTTTCGGGATAACACTATCCAGTATAAAACAGAAAGTGTACACTTCTAGGGGCATATGAACTCAGCAACTAAGTCATACCAGTAGGAGAGCAGGACCGTTTTGTCACTACCCCCTGGGAGGGAGCACATGGATCCTCGAGGTTCGGAACTTTACCGGTAACCTTACCCGGTT